ACCAAATAAACCATATAGTAATCAACTACAAGATGTAATCGACACTACTAGCCACCCACAAGCACCAATCTATAGTTCCGGTACAAAAATTAAACACAAGACATGAACTAGGGTTTGAGAGGAGATGGTGTTGTTTAAGATGTTGATGAAGATTGCCTTCCCCAACATGGGAGAGTTGTTCGTGATGATGATGACATTTCCCCCTCCAGGAGGGAAGTTCCTCCGGCGGAATCGCTCCGCCAGAGGGCAAAAGTGCTCCTGCCCAAGTTCCGCCTCGAGACGGCGGCACTCCGTCCCAAAAGTCCTCTCCTTATCTTTTTCTAGGTCAAAATGACCTATATATCAGAAGATGGGCACCGGAGGTGGGCCGAGGGGAGCACAGCCCATCAGGGCGCGCCTGGGCTCCCTGGCGCGCCCAGGTGGGTTGTGCCCACCTGGTGGGCCCCCTCTGGTACTTATTGGCTCCAATATTTCTTATATATTCCATAAAAATTCCTCGTGAAGTTTCAACTTATTTGGAGTTGTGCAAAATAGGTGGCCTGACGTAGCTTTTCCAGGTCCAGATTTCCGGTCGCCGGAATTCTTCCTCTTTGTGTATACCTTGCATATTATGAGAGAAAAGACATTAGAATTACTCCAAAAAGCATTATTATGCATAAAAACATCATAAATAACAATAGGAAAACATGATGCAAAATGGACGTTTCAGACAGCGACGACGACGCGCCGCCACCGGCCAAACCAGTCTGCCAGGGCGACCTCGGGCAGGGGTCCAGGACGGCCGCGGAGTGAAGAAGGAGAAGGAGGACGACGATGATGGCGACTACGACGCCTTCAACAAGCTCTTCGGCCTGTAGGCGCGACAACATCAATTTTTTTCTTTCTTTAGTAGATTATGTTTTCAATATGTAAAAAAACCGTGGAACGCCTAAATATCGCCGAATCTATGTCGTGTTTGCCGAATTTTGGCTGATTCTGTCTTTAAAAATATTTACAAAAAGGGCGTCTGGGGGCGACCGGGGTGGCGGCTAGGAACCCGATCGCCCCCACGCCGAAAATATCGCCGGTTCGCCCCCAAGCGACGCTTTTTCTAACCCCTGGGGGGGCGAACAGCTGGAGATGCTCTAACAACCCTATGTCTCGAGCATGGAGGCTATGTTTCTCTGGTGTCTAGTGATTACAATAGAATGCGAACCCTTGTCTCAGCACTATGGGGCGGCTTATATTGAGTTCGCCGCCCCTCATCATGTCTACATTACAAGGGGAGATGAAGGATGAAATTTATTACATGTATTACTCGTAACTGATGCTTTAACTACACTTTATGCCAGGCATCGTGCTCCTCGGACGCTCCAGATCCCGTTCAGCCTCTTCGCCTCCCTTGTCCGAGTGCGAGTGAGTATGGCCAAGTGACTGCAGTGTGTCCGAGTGGATGAATAGCATCCGAGTGAATATCCCGAAGTGGATATCCGAATGTGCTTATAAGCTCACGAGCCTGTTGGTCTACTAACGTGGGGTCTTAGGTGGGTCCAAGATGACAGCTCCATAACCCCATCCTTAGTAGGTGACCCATCGTTAGCCCTTGAATCAGTTGAGGTTTTGCGGGACAAATTAGTTGAACGCTTGGTGCACCGGCGGGGGCAGGGGTGCTGGGGAGGAGGGGGGCAGAGGTGGGCGTGGGCGAGGGAGCGCCGGAAATTTTATTCCAGCCTCAGTCGAGCGAGTATATTTAGGGAAATAGTTGGCGTCGGAGGATAATTTTTATTAACTATGGCGGATTGGGAATCGGTTAGATGTGCGTTAGAGGAGTAATACTAACTGTTTATACTCCTCTGACGCCGGATAGGGAGTACGTTAGAAATGCGATTAAAGTAAAAACCTACAAATTCGGACGGAGGAAGTAGATCGAGCAGAGGCAGACAAAAAAATCTGATGTGCACTATCAAAGCGAAAGTGCCTCCTTCGAAGATTGCGAGAGGCCTAACTTTTGCTAACCACGCATAACAGATTAGGTTATCCTAAAAAGGCGACAAGTGGCACTTGCAGCGACAGTAGACACTAGACAGTGGCACCGGGTGGCCGGCCACACCACTCCATCCGCATCGGCCCTAGCGATCACCGGTCTCGACGCGACGGCTCCCACCCCCACCTACCGGCAGAAAGGCGCCAATCAGGCGAGATCAACGGGCCATGCGCCGGCGGCAAGCGTTTTTTGTCTGTTTCCACGAACACGCGCGGGCCCGCCCGCTCCGGCCGGCCACCCATCGCTCCGCTCCGGCGGCATTCAAGGCGCTCGTTGTCGTCACTGCAGAGCGAGGAAGACGGATCCGAGCGTCCGAGGGAAAACGAGATCTGGATCGCCGGCTTGGCTGTACCTGTACCTGATCTGGGCAGATGCTGACCCGGTGACCCCCGGGCCATGTTACCCTTGTCTCGTCTCACGCCACGTTCCGATTGGAGGAGGCACCACCGAGCCCTACGTTTTCTAGCCCCTGTGCTTCTAGTAGCCTGGGTGAAAAGGGGCAGGCCTTCTGCTATGCGCACTCCTCCAGCTTGCTGTGCCCTTTGCATGGTTCATGTATTCAGATGGGTAAAATAAACTCTTAAATCTATTTTGTTTGTAGACATTTAAGTGGCAAATTTTGGTGCTGAAGTAATTATTTGCAGTGATCTAAACGGTCTTATATTTCTTTACGGAGGGAGTACTGATTATCAAAGACATGTTGAACCAGGTTTTGAAAGATCGTATTTTACTTCTTCTTTTTTTAACATAATATAAACGCAGATGCCCACAGTTGAGATCATGCTTTGCACCGTAACCACAGCCACAACCTAGTCTTAGCCTCTGGTTGGATTTTTTTCAGATTGTTGTATAATTCTTGTTTGCCAAATGCGGTGGTGATGCGGCGATATGCTCGTATCTGGATTAACCGTTCAATTTTACATTTGCATGGACCATATGCTACAGTATAATGTACTCATTAGCGGTTGCTTGCCCGACACATGGTTCGTCCTAATACTCTTGTCATCATTGTTTGGCGTCCCTCCGCGATGCCCTTTACTCTTCTTGCAACACCCACGTTTGTTTGCGCCAATATTGTCTGGTCTAAGGGTCTCCTTCTCGGTGCAAGATCTTCATGTGGATTCACCAGCGTTGTCTCACTACCCATAATCTCAAATGACGCATCTAGCCCAACAATGGCATCGGTCGACTTTTCCATCTCTGGCAACAACTTTGAACAAGAATGGGGACTAGTGGCTTCAGACTAGGAAGTTGTCTTCTAAAAGATTAAGGCACGACTTCAACACAATGCTTATCCTAGTGCGTATGTGCATTTGGAAAGAGAGGAACATAATAACGTTTGAATAGAACATTCAGTAACATCTAAGATTTTTTTTTTTTTGAATTGATAACATTAGGCTAGGATGTGGAGAGCTGTGAGGTTGCATGATTTACCTGCTAAACTACCACGTTGCCGGAGCCTTGTGCTCCCTCTAGCCATTGAAATGTGTGTTTTCCCCGCTTTGTTGGCAGCGATTCGCCGTCTCGGTCATTGTTGCACCCTTTTGTCCGGTATTTTATAGTTGCTTATCCCTGGTTGTAATGGGGAGTATCATATACTAATATCATGCATATGATACTAGTGTATGATACTACCTCCCTAATGCATAATATTATATATTAGTATTACGTAGTACTCTATTTATTGGCGAATCAACCTATGGTTGAGTTGGTTAGGTGAACAGTGGTATCCCCAACCCATCAGGGTTCAAATCCTGGTGCTCACATTATTCCGGCTCAAGATGATATGCCGGCTCAGTCTCTCGGAGGTGCTCATAAGGGTAGGGTGATGCGGTATCATGATATGATACTCCATCATCTCTTTCTTTATTTAATGTTATGACACCTCATTAAAATTGTCTAGTTGACATGCATGATACTAGCTATGATACTACCATTACGACCGGCCTAATAAAGATTGACATCGTCCCTTTGAAAAACAAGGTTCTAGCCATGATAGAACCAAATATAAGACCACCAAAATAATAGACAACATTTACACACTAGAATTCCTTCAAGAAAAATTCCAAATGCTTTTCTGGTTAAAAAGTATATTCCAAATGCCATGTATTTATGTCTACTAAGAGTTGATGTTTGTACGCCATCA